GGATTCATCCGAGCTACAAACGAAGGCAAAAGCAGATGGGGAGCTATCGGAGTCATGATTTCTGGAGATGTTTACTTCGAAGCGATCCCCTGTGCTGTCGTTGTCCCTTCCACTGAGACATCGGAGGGATGCAGTTCCCGTTGAGACTTCCCACGAGCCGAGGGTTGTGGTTCGGATTCATCCGAACTACATCACACGTTCCGTAGTGAGGCGAAACAAAAAACGTCCAGCCTGAGAATTGCATAACCCCTTGTGGGAGACAAAGAACACCGACGAAAGTCATGAGTGGCGGGTTGTCATGGAAAGGGGGTCGCCTCTGAACTCTCGATGGGGGAACGTTGTGTGTAAACAATGGGTCGGATGCAAGGGGGGCATAGTCATGCAGCCACTGCCATCGCAAATGACATCTACTATTGCCTTCATCCCGAGATCGGATGAATCTGAACTCCATCCGGAACAAGTGGCACGAACAACACTCTCTCACTCCCGCTGCAATCCCGAGAACACCTCCCTAAGCTGCTCTGGAAAACAAGGCTGCGATTAATTGGAATCGAAATGTGATCGGCGTGGATCGAGAGCTGATCGTTCCATGAGGTCATTGTGCATTCATTCAACTCAGATTTTGAGACTGCAATCGTCGCGAGGATTGTCCACGTCAGAGTTCGCCCAAAATGAATCGTGGCGAGGGGACGGGCTGCCGCACGGGCAGCGATGCTATGGAGTTTTCCTGTGGGCGAGATGGAACTTGTGAGCGCTAGTTCCATATCCAAAATGTTGTCGATGCGTGTCCGGCGTCTCGCGCCCGGTTGCGTGGCGGTTCCTCATTGCTAGCTGCGTGTGCGAGAACGGGCGATGAGACAAGGAACGTTCAAGACAACAAGAAAAAGATCCTGATGTCGTCCACAATCGCGATAGACATGTTCCATCACCGAGTCGATCGGAAACGAGCTCGAAGTTGGCACTTGGAAGTGGGATGTCGCGGGATCGGTGGTAGTCAGGGATGTTTCAGATTCGCCATGGGTATCCTTTATGCGCAACGGGTCGTCGCTGAACGTTGTGGATGGGTGGCTTGGCCACTGTTGGTTGTGAGTGCGACATGGGCGATTCCTATTGGAGGTGCGCGTTTGTCGTGAGGCTTCCAGCTATCAGCGCTGCGATAACAGATCGTCCGATAAACGTCAACACCAGAGATGGATGGACGGGATCTTAAAGTCGATCGACACGCGTTTTTCAGATGATGTCTCCGGTGTTGACGTCTATCGGGTGATGTGTTATCGCAGCGGTGATCACATACCGCGATTTTGAGGACGCCAGGGAGCAACGGCGATGAAACTTCGTCCACGCGTCAGATGCGGTCATCGGAGGCGTCCGACGATCTTGACTGCGAAAGCCGCAGACCATTTCGAATTCCAGACGTCATGCGCAAGATGGTGACGTCAGCGTGTGTCAGTGGAAGGGAACTTTCGTGGTTGTGAGCTGTAGACATCGTGGGCTGAAGATCGCGCGCATGTCGACTCGTGCGTGATAGACAGAGCAGGCGGTGATGTAGAAGAATACTCGCACGACCGACTGCATTGCGATATCCTAAGTAGACTGGGGGAGGACGACCCGCGAGCCACGGTCCAAGAAAGTGTACCAACAAGCGATGTCGAGCACGCCAAGACTCGAGGGCGATGCGACTTTCTCCACGCGTCAGATGCGGTCGACGGAGGGCGCCAAGACTAGAGGGCGATGTTGAGGACGCCAACAAGCGACGGTGAAGACGCCAACAAGCAATGTTGAGGACGCAAACAAGCAATGTTGAGGACGCCAAGACTCGAGGCCGATGACTGTGAAAGTCGCAAGCCATTGCCCGTCGTTGACGTCATGTGCAAGATGATGACGTCAGCATGTGTCACTGCATGGGGTCTTCCGTCGTTGTGATCGGTGGGCGTAGTGCGCTCAAGATCGTGCGCGCGTGATTGGCGGAGCAGGTGATGGCAGAGAACAAGACTTGCACGGTCGAAGGAGCGGAAGGGCAATGGGAAGAGGTGGGGGCTTGAAATGGTGAAGGGGTCGAGCAGGGGGCGTGGGCTTCTTACTGACCTGCGAGTCGACAAACGCCTCCAGCCAACACAAGAAAGTACAACGCGAACGGGACGACGCGCAAGGTCTACAGTCGCGTGACGTTTTCGTTAGCGCCCCCGACTATCGACGATTGCTGGAAGAACGAGGGCCTAGATGCGCAAGGGGCCTGCGATATGATGCAGGCGACTTCGAGCGATGGCGGACACGTCGCAAAGGCAGCACACAGAAGAAATGACACCAGCGAACGGGTGTGACAGCCACCCCCATTCGTTTGGTGCCCGACAGGAGAACGGAGAGTGCAGTGAGTGGGGCTTGAGGGGCCCTTCAGCTGCCCGCCGCAGGTACTGCCGC